ACCACCACCACCGACAAGTAACGCAGTGCATGTCAGAATATATCCGTCGTGGAGTTGGCTTGAAAACATTCTCTACTGCGGTCCCTCGGGGAGCCGCTTTAGCTGGAGAGCCAGGGCGCCTCGTGTCGCAGCGACAATACAGGATTGACCGTCAATGGCAGCACTGGGACTGATTTGCGTTGACTGGGAGCATGTTCTTAGCCTTCAACAGATCCGTGCGCCTCCGGTAGATGAAACTGGAGACGCCAAACTCCTAGAGACTGCAGTAGTATTAATTGACGAAGATACCTGAAATTACACAGGACGTGAGACGAGGCTTGCTAGAATGAGTCTCGCAACCCAACCACTCCTAAAGTTCTATATAATCAACAACTCCTAAACCCTAAACCCTACCTAGCCAAAGCGACGTCTCCTCGGTCTCCGGATTGTGCGGAGTCCCTCGGCCCTGCAGCTCGGCCGCCCAGCCCGGAAGGGAGCTGGCCTCCTGGATGTGGGGTTAGGGTTAGGGTTTAGGGCGGGTGAGGGTTGAGGGCTTAGGGTTTAGGAGGGCTTAGGGTTCAGGGATTAGGGCTGGGTTTAGCATTTAGGGTTTAGGGTTTTTAAAGGGTTTAGGGTTTTTCAGGGTTTAGGGTTTAAGGGTTTAGATTTTGAGGGTGTAAAGCTCAGGTTTAGGGGCTCAGGGCAGGGAGTTCGGGATTCGGGCCTGCAGGAATTTAAAGGAGCTTTAACATCTTCTGTCTATCGAAGCCCTTGCAGATGTCCAACCTGTCACCGGCAGCTGCATAAACAATACGAAGGCATGAAGTGTTCTACATTTCTACATTGATACATAAGCCTGTCGAACGCGAATGCCTTGCCCGGAACCATTCGGGAGGGCTGCAGCTAAGTGGAATCTGTTGTTGACCGCTGCACCTCTTTGTCGGAGCAAATTGCCCGCGTTGGAAGACTTGACGGGGAAGCCACTCCACCTCGCCATAAAGTCGCTTGAGGTTTGGGCTTGTAGCTCATTTTGCACGATTAACGCGGCTGAGGGATGAGAGGTCTTCAGACTCTCTTGCGGCCACGGTTGGCATATCAACAGGCATCAGGCAGAACAACGTCATGCACGGCAGTATGTATGCGTGAGAAACCCGGCCAAGCTCTGCGACATGAACACGCGCGCTCATGAGTCCCCGACGTCAAATATCTCATCAGCATCTTGGTGATCACGGGCTGGCAAGCCCACCATGCAAAGGGGAAGTCGGCTCGACTGGCTATACCTGCTGGGGGCAACAGTTTCCATGCATCACCGTTCTGAAGAGTATGGAAATGGTACGAGTAAGTCTGTGAGGTATTGACAATGATGATGATGATGTTGATGAGGATGACCCCTCAACCCGCAAAATCACCAGCGCATCCTATCCTCCTTTCACATCTTGTCCCATCGCCCGGCAGTGTAATTATTCAGCTTTGTTCTCATACTTCAAGCATCTTCAGCATGTCATTAGCTCACGGCGTCCGGGAATAAGACCTTGAACGAGTCTAAGAGCAAGACATAGAAGGCTTTAACATCTGGTTTGTGCTTCAGGGCTGACCCCACAGTTTGGGCCGTGGCCTCACGGGCTGACATGTCGTTGGCCCAGTACGGGGGGCCTTCCTCCAAAGCCTCAACCATGATCGTGAACAAAATAATGCAACAACTGCGCATGCTAGGAAAATGGAGGCGAAAAACGAATGGCTTGGCATGTTTGGTACCTAGGCCGCTGCACATGCCGATGACGTTTTGTGAGACAAGCTTCTGAATTATGCAAAGCTGTGGAGCAGCAATGCCGCTTTGTGAGACAAGCTTCTGAATTATGCAAAGTAGTGGAACAGCAATCTCGTCCGTCAACCACGCACAGGAGACTCCCAAGAGCATTGCTGCAAGATGGGCAGGCTATGCTGCTCGCAAAATGCTTGAATGCGCGCGGAATCCACGTCGCCGCCCAGAGCGGGGAAACCCTGAGACTGCTTCAGTGCCGGTGCATCCGAACCGACGTTCATCAGGCGTAGAAAATCCTGCCACGTCCAGTTCTTGCCGCGGGCATCGTAGACGCACCGCAGCTGGACAGCATCGAAGTACTTCGCATCGGCCATGTACCGAGCGAGCTCCGGCCTCAAGTGTGGTGCCACGAATTGCAGAAAGCCTTTAAGGGCCTCAGCAGGCTGGCCAAGAGCAAGCTTCGCAACTTCGGCAAAACCGTGCACGGGGCCTTGGTTGAGTGGGAAGCCGGTAGGACCAAACACTAGAAAGGTGCCTTCCTGACAACATCGCATGAGGTTGCCTCTGCGTCTCTCATACCGCTGCAGCTCCAAAAACTTCTGGCCGGCAACCAAAGCTTCGCTCCACACCGGCCACAACATTCGTTTGAAGGCCGTGGGCACGTGTTCAGGCCGAAGTTGCTGGGATGAACGTCGGCGCATCACAGGTCTGCGCACGGCGGTTCGCGGGACGGAATAGTTGCATGCACCTTGGGGCCTCGCTGCCACGGCTGCGGGCATGACCTCACCGGGTTCATGACTTTCCTTTGCACGCTTGCAAGCACTGCCGTCATCAGGCAGTGATGCAGGAGCCGCTGGCTCGTTGTGTGTTGAGGAGGCTGCGAGGATGTCTTCTTGCAGCGCATCAGGAAAGTTCCTGCAGCGACGTCGGTGCACAGACAGAGGCTTCGAGTCCGTGTCGGAACTGGCATTCGACGCAACAGGCGCAGGTCCCCTCTTGAAAGCTGCAGCCAATGAAGGAAGCACGTCTGTGTCGGAGGCCGTTGACTGAACCAGCTCCGTTGCCGCATGAAACAGCGCGTCCACCTTCTCAGCCAGCTGAGCATCCGTCCTTGCCCACCCAGGCAGAGAGGGACGGTGAAAGATGCTGTAATTGATCTTCAAAAATGCCAGCTGCGACACGAATTGGAACCATGCCTCTCCAATAAATCTGGCGGATGGCGGAAAGCATAGCTGGGCCGTAGCCCAAAGGCGCTCAACAGAAACGGTTCCACTGTGGATAGGCAAGCCTGCCGCATGTAGCTGCAACGCGACTTTGCGCCAGTGCCACAATCCCTGAATCCGAATCTTGTTCTTCAACCTTTTGTAATGCAGGCACACCTTCTGGGTCAGGACTGAGCGCGGTCCAACGGCCGTCGCAGGTCCGACACGGTCGCGCATGATGCGTCGTCGACGTTGCAATGTGGGCCTCCACAACTTCCTTGGACGTTTGTACCACTGTCGCTGACGCGCCAGTTCAGACCTAAGTTCCTGCCTGTTCGTGAAGTTCCAAAATCCACATGTGGGGTGCAAGGACACGTCTAACCGCCGCGCAAGTCTGGCTCCAACACCTCGGGGTGGTTGGCAATGACAAAGCCGACGCCAGACTTTGTGGTCCAGCACGTGCGGCTGCTGCAGGAATTGTTTCAGCTCTTCCGTCACCCCAGGACGACGAGCCCACTTACGCCTCCAGGCCAGATTGCGCAAGGTCAACATGTCCAGGAGATGCTGCTGAGCGGCCGCGCTCAAGGGCACATCGTCGCGGTCAGCGTCATCAGCCAAGGGCGGCCGGGGCGGCGACGCATCCAACTTTGCACTTGCGGCGTGCACCCGCCGTACTGGTACTGCGGTACCTGGAGGAGCCGCCGTAGTAGCTCCATCCTCAAAGACAGCAGGCCGGGGTGGTGCACTTAACCGGTTCATGATGTCTTCATGATCATGATAGGCGTCTGCAAAGTCGTAGCTGAGGTTGGACAGTGCGCGCCGCAAGTTGATGCAGTCGTGTCGAGGATCGCCGGTCACGATTGTTGCGGCTTTGGGCGGCACGTTCGCATCCAGGCTGACGGTGATTTTGTCACCTTTTCTTTTCTGCAGCTGCAACGTCTGGCCAAGCCACACGGCGTCATAGACGGATGGCCACAATTGTCTGTGCTTGTTGTAGGAGTCAGTGCAGTGAAAAACCGGTCGTGATTCCGGTAACGTGAGGCCATAGGCGAGGCGAGTGTCCCTTCCAAACTCCAGGTAAGGCCGAAGGTCGCTTGCTTGGGTCTCGAACGATTCACCGTCACACAGAACCCAGGGCTTAAGCAGGCTCCCATCCAAGCCGCACCATGCCTGTATAGCTGAGTATGGAGTCTCGAAATACCCTGTCAATGCATTCCGAACTCGAACCCGAGAAGCAAGGTCATAATGCGCGTCACCTCGAATCCCGGCCATGTTGTAGATCGCTTGCCTCTTCTTCATGGCCGTCACAGCAACATCCACAAAGTTCGCGAAGCCTTGCAGAGCCATGCATCGGAGTTCTTCTGGCTGCGGCAGAGCCAGAACACTGTTTGCCCAAACTGAAGGGTCCGGGAGGTATCCTTGGCGAACGCCAGCAAGTGCTGACGCTGCAAACACATCCACGAGTACACGCCTCACGGCATATGTGCTAAGGTGGGTGTACAAAAGCTGCAAACAAGTAAGCAGAAAGAGAGGCGTGGCATACATATTTGCTTTGGTCTTCGCCAAGGGTTTGATGTGCACGACGTCTGGCCACATCTGCAGAACGTCGCTGGCCTCTGGCCGCCAGGTTGCGGCACGTCCCCATCTTCGGCTGCAGCTGCGGCATCTGCGAGGTCTGAGGTCGATTTGTCGTGGAAAGGGCACATCCAAAATAAAGGTGGGTTTGCACTTTGTCCGTCTCGGAAGGAGGATGTGGCGCGGACACCTATGGAGGTGATCTCGAGCTTCCTGCGCCAACACGACGGCAATGTCATCGGACCAGTGGGGCATCGAAAGAGCTGGTCGAGGCTGCATGTCTGTTTCTTGCATGGTCTGCTGCACCGCTGCTTCCAGCGCGCCCCAGGCGTCTATGTCTGCAACAGTCGAGGGTTCAGCATCCAGCATTCCTTGTTCGCCGCAGTCGGCCTGCTCCAAGTACAAGCTGTCGCCAACCCTGCCCATCAGCCGATAGCGCACTCCGACATCCTGAAGCATCTCTGCAGAGCAATGCTGAACAGTGCGACCATGTAGGACATGAGTGGCTCCGCGCAAGGGCGCGCGCATGGCGCGCATTCTGCTTTTGGGCGCGATGGTGGCGACTGCGGCCTTGCCTTTTTTAGACACGTCTAAAATCAAGACTGCCTGCCCATTTAAACTGGCCGTCAGACCGGCAGCTGGACGCAGGGGCTGCGCCTGCGAGAGCCCGCTGCTGTCGCGTCCATGGAACAGGCTGCAATTTTTGAGCGATTGCAGCACAGCCAACGTGCGGCCCGCCAGCAAGCGACGGACTTTGAAGTTCTTTTTGGAGCGGGCTGCAGCCTCTGCAGCACCTGGCGGCGGCAGCGGCTGCCGACGTCTTCGTCGGCTGGTCCTGCTGACACGCAAGGCCTGCGGGCCAGCATGTGGCATGCGGGCGTTGCACTGCGGTCCCTCGGGGAGCCGTTCCGGGGGTATAAGACCATGGCGGCGATAATTACTTGAGCCATACAACAAAGGCGAACGCGCCAAGTCTGCATGCTCTTAATCCGGATACTTGCATAATTTTGGGGCCCTGCTGCGTATGCAACAATGGCCTAGGCGTCGGGCATGCCCCGCCGGTGCTGCGGCTGTGACTTGGAAGAGGCACTCCTCCAAGCACCTATGCCAAGTCAGATAAAGAAAACTGATGCAGAACAATGCTGCAGCACGAACACAGACATGACACGAGCAAACACATTAGAACATGTTCTTTTGCTCTGCTCGTGTCCATGCACGATCGCTTGCTTTCGTGGCGACTCTGAGTGCGCAGGACACACAGGCCGGCTGCACGTTATCTGCAAAGTATAATTACAATGCAACATGAATTTGGCTGAACATGTGCTTCAGCGGGACATAGAAGACCATCAGGAAAACTCGGACGAGTTCACCTTCAGCCTCTTGCGCTCCTGGTCGGCGGCCTCGTCTTGCATAATGTCTGCCAGGGTGCGCTTTTTGACTTGCACGGTAGGTCGCCCCCGTGCCGTCTTCTTGGCGCGCCTTGCAGCCTTCTTGCTGGCGGCCTTCTTGGCGACAGGCGCTACCTTCTCATCCTCCGGCTGGACGTCTTCCGGTGCATGCACATGCTGCGTCTCTGGCTCTGCCGCATGGCCGTCAGGGTACTGCAGCAGGTTGCGTGTCAAGAGATGGTCAATGGCTGTTAAGATCTTGTCGGCCAAACCTTTCCTGTACCAGTCACTGCGCTTGTTTCGAAACCAATCTCGAACTTGCTTCGCTGTGAACATTTGGTCTTTGGGCGCCTTCTCGAGGAGAAGCTTCATGAACTCGTCCTCTGGCGTCTGCTCCTCTTCTTCCTCGTACTGCGGCTCGGCCAGCACAGCCTCGTGGACCTCATTGCGCGAGTGCTCCTTCTTCTGGTTGCGCTGTGCCCAGCGATAGAAACCGAAGTGAAGCTGGACTTGCCGAAGCCACCGCATGAGCCCCACGGAGATCTCGTCTACGGCGGCTGTGACCCTATCAGCATCCGGTTTGCCAAACTTCCCGTTCAAGAACTGACAAGCTCTCATGACCTTGTGCGTTTCGCGCAAAACATCGCTGTGGAAGAATTGGAGTTTGCTCTGCCAAGCCGGCGGCATCTTTGGCATCTCCTTCATGGCGTCCATGAGAGCCTCCTTTGCTGACCGGTAGACACTCAAAGCAAAGCCATCCAGGCTCAGCTTCTGACCCTTCCCAGGAGCTGTGAAAGTTCGGAGCATCCAGTCATGGTACTCTTGGATCAAATTGTCGCTGTCCTTGCTGCACTGGTTGTCGTCCGTGTGCAGCGTTGCCAGACTCCACACTTGTTTGATCCGTTTCTGGAAGCCATGCACTTTGGGGTTGAGGATGCACTCGCAAACCTCTGTCTGGCCAGCCACCTTCAACATAAAATTGTAGGCACCGAGCACTTGCTTGCTTTGCCCCGTTTGAGGGCCGTCGTACTCACCCTGCGTCCATGTGTTCAGCTTGGTTGGGGCCAGGAAATGCAGCCCACTCTCCTTGTCGCTAAACTTGGTGTCAAACGTGGTAGCCGCCTCATCTGAGGAGACGGCACACCGACTATGCGCTTCCAGACAGTTCCGGATGCCTTTCGTCGTCGAGTCTGTGTTCAGGATAGTACGATCCTTGAAGATATCTGGTGCTTCACGTGAAGTCAACATCCAGTCATCGCTGGCTTTGATAAGATGGCTTTTGCGTGTGGAGCTCGCGCTCCCCACAATCACGGGGCTCGCTGGCGTGATCTCGTGCATGCTGTCGAGCTGATGAGTGAGCGTTGTGGTCGGGTCTTCCATGAACCCGACATTGGCATCCAGGACTGCTAGCAAGGCTTCCGGTGAAAGACCACGGCGCTTGGCGACCGTGTTGACTGCGGCAGCTAAGGGAGCGGGCACCATGAAGCGAAGGTCGAAATCGAGGTTTGTGGCAAGCTGACGGTGCGTCTCCGTGCCGTTGTAGCAGTGTAGCAAGCACTCTTTGACGGTCTTGTAGACCTCGTCCTTGTCCAAGTAGCCATCGAAGACACAGTCCTGGAAGTAGAACTCATCCAGGCTGAAGTCCGCGCCCTGCTCCTGCACATGCCGCAACATGTCGGTGACGGGGTCTGGCCGGTCGCGACCTGCAGCGGACTGCTCGTCCAAGGCATTCTCGAAGCGAAGCTTTCTTTTGCAGGGTTGAACTGGCTCTGGCTGCGACTGCAGGCTTGCGCCGCTGCGCCCTGCCTCTTCTGATGCAATGCCTTGTCCCGGAGTCCCTTGGGGAGCTCCTTGAGAGACGTCAAGACACATATCCTGCAAGTGTCTCTCCGCCATTTCTTGGTCCAGGACCACATGCGGCACCAGAAATTTGGATGCATACATACCCAACGGATTCTCTGCGTTTCGGAAGATGTCCTTGGAGAGAAGCACACCCCGAAAGTGCAAGATACAGAGAATGCTGTGGAAATAGCAGTCCCCGGACTCGCGCACTTGGTCTGCCAAAGTCGCTGACCCACTCCTAGCAGGGCAGGCAAGCTTTACAAACTGAGCTGCGACAAAACCGAAATCAAGAGTTGTCTTAGGAGTGCATGGACCCCTAAGACAGGCCCGGTCCTGGAGGCCACAGAAATTACCATGTCGCAAAACCGGCTGGGGCATGACGGTGGCAGCAGTCTCCCATATTCCTCCTTCGTCAGGAAAGGCATAAAGTGGCAGCCTGCCATGCCCTCCTGCGTGACATTGAAGGTACCGCCGTGCACCAGAACGTTGTCTTCCGTCTTGGGGCAGACAAACTCCGCATCCCGCCAGAAGGCGGCTGGAAGTGTCAGGAAATTGTCTGGAGGCTGCACGGAGTCCGGATGGAGGCATTTGAGCAAGTTCGGACGCAATCGCATCCAATCGCCATCTCCGCCCCACAACGGCGCCGAGGTATGCTTTTCGCTGCCGCACCAGGTTTCAAGTCGCGCAGCTTCTGCCAAGCATGCACGAAGCACTAGTATGCCCGTTTCCTCGTCCACACCGCAAAGTGGCCCTGTTCCGGACCTCTGGACGTACTGGCACTTCTCCCTGGCTGAAGCTTGCAGCGCCTGCAAGAGATCCATGCCATACTCACCGTAAGACTCTGGCGTTCCTGCCGTTCCTGGGGTCGTCTTTGCAGGTGACGGGTAGCCATCTGCAACCACGGCAACATCGTCCCTAACGGGAGATGTCTGAGGGTCGGGCTGGGTTGCCACCGCCATGTCCGAAGCACTGCGGGCTGCCAAAGTGTCACTAACAGGTTTAACAGCCGTCCCTACGGGAGCGGGGAAGCTTTCTACAGCGAGGGCTGCATCGTCCCCCGAAGGAGAAGTCTGTGGGTCGGTCTGGGTCGGCGCCACCATGTCTCTGCAGAAGGCCGTCGGAAAGTCGTCTGTTGAGCACTTGAGCCGAGGAGCTGACCGAACATCGACTTGTAGTGCTGCCAGTTGCATGGAGGAAGAACAACAGCCACAACTCCAGGAGCTGCGTTTTCTGGCTTCGACAACGAGAAGACCAAGCGTGTTTCGCAATGGAAGTCAGAACAGGCTAGGAGCCATCAAAATGTTAAGGATGCTGTTAGACTGCTAGACAGTCTACTACAGACTATGGTGACGCACCACATTAGGACATACACAACAGACACCGTCGGAATCCAGGCCTCAGATTCGATTACGGCGCCGCACGCACATTGCGAGACGCGATCGTCTAAGGACATGTGCCAAACTACATGTCTACCATATATGCAGTGGGCTCCATGCAGAAATCCTTATACTTCCTTCGTGTGCAATTGCTTCATTCTTATCATATGCTTCCCACACACTGAAGGATTTGCAAGCTCGACTGCGATCTGCGTGGAGCAATGCACATATAAGTTTCAGCGACTGAAAGCTGGCAATGTAGACGCTCGTGCCGTGACACCGTCGAATACAAGTATAGAGCCAAGACGACGTGCCGGAGCCAGCGCAAGTGTCCAGCACAAGTATGAGTTCGAGTCATGCAGATGCATGGTCTCCGCGACACGGAAAGAAAGAGGTGTATCCACATTAGGCGACATGCTGTTTTCCTCCTTGCGTTTCCGCTTGCCACCGCGTTCACGTTCCCGGTGGCCGCTTGGGGCGGCATTTACTGGTCCTGGCATCTCATGCTTGCAGAGTAACCCTTTGCATGAGGTACAGAGATGATGCCAGCATTCCCCAATTATGCATCCGGAAACTGTTTCAAGCACTGAATAAAGGAATGGCCGTTTCCTGGTGGCAGCGGCTGGGGCATTGCCTGCAGCCTTTGTGCATGTAGCTCGGCTTCACGATGTCCTGGATGTAAAGGAAACCTACGGAAATTCCAGTGATATGCAACATGTCGAGCCGCGGGCTGATTTGCAGCTGGAGCATGGCTTCTGTCTGGCCTCAGTGTTCATGCTCACAGTACCTGGCAATTTGATGTTGCAACGCGCGCATACGAACATATCACCTAGGAATCGCTTCTTGCAGGAGGTCCTGAATTACTGCGGCGTGGCCCACAAGCACGAATTACTCGGGTGCCGACCCTGTTGTTGCCGATGGAGTTGCCCGTCATGGTCTGGGAGGACCCGAGACCATTGAACGAATAATTCGGACTGATACGCAAGCATTGCTGCAGTTTGAATTTGCTAACGAGTTCCCCGCTGGCACGCTCTTGGGCTAAAGCGGCTTCGTGTTCTTAGTGCACCGACCCAACGTGCACGTATATGTAATGAACACTTTGCCTGCTGAGC